ACTTATTGAATATCCTTTTCACCACCGAGGAACAGAACCGTATCCTTTGGGAATGCAGACATGCAGTCCCTGGAAATGATGGGCAACCGACAGATTGTGGCTGCTTTTCCTCTCATACACCCAACGGGGGGGGGCTATAACACCCCCGAAGGTGGGGAATGCCTAAAGATCTATCACCAGATTCTTGGGGGGGGGTCTCCGGGCAGCTGCTAAGCACCCCACCAATTTGTTCACCAGTTAGTGACTGTCCTAGTTTGTTTCTTCATTGCTGTGACAAAATACTCTGACCAATACCAACTTGGGGAGGAAAGGGTTTATTTGGCTTACATCTCCCGGGTCACAGTTAATCAAGGATCCCAAGGTAGGAACTCAGGGTAGGAACCTGGAGGAAGGAGCTGGAGCACAGGCCATGGAGGAACGCTGCTTACTAGCTTTCTCCCTGACTCCAGCTGACCTGGTACTCACTCTGTATACCAGGCTAGCCTTGAAGTCGTAGAGATCTGCCTGCCTCTACCTCCTGAGTGCTGGGATTAAAGGTGTGCACCACCAGGCCCATCAGTCTGCTTTCTTATGCAACAAAGATCCCCCTGCCCAGGGGTGGCACCACCCACAGTGGGCTGGGCCCTCCCACATCACTCAGCAATCACGAAGATGCCCCACAGACATGGCCACAGGTCAGTCCTATGTAGGGAATTCCCCAGTTGAGGCCCCCTCAACCCAGGTGTGTCAAGTTGACACTAAAGCTATCCAGCATTAATTGACCCCTTGTCAACTTGACACACAAATATCACTATTAAACCATAACTTTCCAATTTCTGTCCCCAAGATATGATGTTAATATCACAACCTAAGACAGTACAACCTTAAAAACCTCACAGTGCTTAAACAAAGTAGCTCAAGGCTGGAAATCTGGGATTCACTCACGATCTTCTGGGCTCCAAAGGGTACTGGCAGCTCCACTGCTCTTACTCTGCAGTCCACAGAACACTCAGCTCATCTTGCAGACCCAGGCCAGCTCCATCCATACCTGCTGCTGTCCTTGGTGGTCGTCCCATGGTCCCAGCGTTTCCAAAAAGCTGGGGTCGCCACTGAAACTGAGGTTACACCTTCACCAATGGCCTCTTCTTGCCTCTTGGGGTACAAAGCATCAGATTCCCTCCATGACACCTTCAATCCTGGGGTCTTCACTGCAACTGAAGCTAAACTTTCACCAATGGCCTTTCCTGGCCTCTCAGGGTGCTAAGCCTCAACTGCTCTCTATGACCCTTACACGACTTGGGTCCCCTCTGTACCACAGCTTCTGTGTACTGACCCTGGAAATATCTCCCAGAAGATTTCACCATAGTGATGCTGGTCTCTTGTTACTTACAGCTGATTTTTCAGCCCCAGCTAGGCAGCATCAATTGTCTTAGTAAAGCAAAGGTTTTACATCAGGTTCTGGTCTCTTCTTAATCACAACTGATCCG